TAGTTCAGTTCTAGTTCAGTTCTAGTTCAGTTCTAGTTCAGTTCTAGTTCAGTTCTAGTTCAGTTCTAGTTCAGTTCTAGTTCAGTTCTAGTTCAGTTCTAGTTCAGTTCTAGTTCAGTTCTAGTTCAGTTCTAGTTCAGTTCTAGTTCAGTTCTAGTTCAGTTCTAGTTCAGTTCTAGTTCAGTTCTAGTTCAGTTCTAGTTCAGTTCTAGTTCAGTTCTAGTTCAGTTCTAGTTCAGTTCTAGTTCAGTTCTAGTTCAGTTCTAGTTTCAGTTCTAGTTCAGTTCTAGTTCAGTTCTAGTTCAGTTCTAGTTCAGTTCTAGTTCAGTTCTAGTTCAGTTCTAGTTCAGTTCTAGTTCAGTTCTAGTTCAGTTCTAGTTCAGTTCTAGTTCAGTTCTAGTTCAGTTCTAGTTCAGTTCTAGTTCAGTTCTAGTTCAGTTCTAGTTCAGTTCTAGTTCAGTTCTAGTTCAGTTCTAGTTCAGTTCTAGTTCAGTTCTAGTTCAGTTCTAGTTCAGTTCTAGTTCAGTTCTAGTTCAGTTCTAGTTCAGTTCTAGTTCAGTTCTAGTTCAGTTCTAGTTCAGTTCTAGTTCAGTTCTAGTTCAGTTCTAGTTCAGTTCTAGTTCAGTTCTAGTTCAGTTCTAGTTCAGTTCTAGTTCATTCTAGTTCAGTTCTAGTTCAGTTCTAGTTCAGTTCTAGTTCAGTTCTAGTTCAGTTCTAGTTCAGTTCTAGTTCAGTTCTAGTTCAGTTCTAGTTCAGTTCTAGTTCAGTTCTAGTTCAGTTCTAGTTCAGTTCTAGTTCAGTTCTAGTTCAGTTCTAGTTCAGTTCTAGTTCAGTTCTAGTTCAGTTCTAGTTCAGTTCAAGTTCAGTTCTAGTTCAGTTCTAGTTCAGTTCTAGTTCAGTTCTAGTTCAGTTCTAGTTCAGTTCTAGTTCAGTTCTAGTTCAGTTCTAGTTCAGTTCTAATTCAGTTCTAGTTCAGTTCTAATTCAGTTCTAATTCAGTTCTAATTCAGTTCTAATTCAGTTCTAATTCAGTTCTAATTCAGTTCTAGTTCAGTTCTAATTCAGTTCTAATTCAGTTCTACTTCAGTTCTAAATGGATACATTGACTCTTTTTGAAAACGCAGGGTATGCAATATTATTGTTTTTGAAAGAAAACTAATAAAAATAAAAACCTAATACTTAAATACTGATAATTTAAGAATAACATTACACCTAGTTCTCGATTTACACGTTGGATATACTTTCCTAAGGAAAAGGGTTAATTTGAATCCAAACCTGACTTCAGAATATCTTCATCACAACGGTTCTTGATATATTCATTGTACATAGACAAACAAATTGTGTTAAAGCGAAATCGTGTAAAACGAGGACGAGATGTAATATCAACACTCTCTATAAGTCTTTGTATTGCGATAAGGTTTATTTAAGTCGCACACTACCTATTGTTTTCCACACCAAGAACAACACTGAGAATACAAAACAACTGATAAAGTATTCTATTATAAATATGTTTAGAAAAACAGGCAAAAGGGCGAGAGAGTCTTCAACACCAATTAGTATAAATGAATCTTCTAAAAGGAACAGACAGTATAGATTCGCATTTTCTAACAAAAAATAAACTATTATGTACACTTTTAATAAAATAATAATTTTCCTAATAAAAATTGCCATTGTGATCAGTGCTGCTTATGATCCAATTAAACAAAAATCTTTTTCATTTTCTACAAACATAACACCGGAAATTGCCAAAGAATTTAAGGATTTTGAAACTTTAATACCCACCGCCACCATAGATGCAATTGTAGCTGAACACTATTTGGTGGATGGAAATTTTCGCACAGCAATTAAATATTTGCGTAGTCAAGAATTTACAAAGCTACAGCGACAACTATTTGATATACCAGAAATCATAGACATTTTGGAATTTCTACATCTAACGAGTGAAAATGCCACAACGAGGCATATGGGTGCAACTAAAACGACAACAACAGCGGCAGTAGCAGCAAGAGTCAAAGCATCATTGAATGATTATAATGATGCTGTCGAAGTTGATAATAGAGTCGACAAAATGACCACTAATACTGGCACCATCATCATCTCCAAACGCAATACTATGGCTATTGAAAATGCAATAGAATCATCATCATCAGCATTGAACAAAAACATAAAAGTTCACAAACGACCACAACAGCTCCAAATGGAAAGGCAGAACAACAGAAATGTTGCCATAGATGATAATGATGTTGTTGTTGCAAGAATATCTAACGAGCGCCAGCCATTAGTGAGTATTGTATTATTGGAGGATTTAAAGGTTAAGGGGACGTCTCTCAATGAGGGCCATCACAATCAGCATCATTATCATCATCATAAATATCAGCGTCATCAAAGCAATAATAATTATCATCATCATCATCATCGTTCACTGGGGACATTTACAGCATTTGTCGAAGAAGTTTTACAACATCTACCACATTCTGCTTATCAAAATATGATTAAGGATAAATGCCTGAAAAATGCAAAATTCGCTGAATTTTATAGGGCTTTAAGAAGTCTAGAATTAAAGCCTCTAATTGATCAGGCTATGGTATGTATTGCTAAAAAATTATTTAAATTTTAATTTTCTTAAATAGTTATTTTTCTTTTAGACCTCAGAAAATATTAAGAAAATCATACAAACCCTTGATAGTCATAAAATAGATGTTAAAGCTTTGGAACCAATTGCCTTTAAAGTCATCTCCTGGGGTCCCAATATATAAGTAAATAACTGCTATTCTAAGTAATTTAGTATTTTTTTATAACTTAAATATTTTCATTAAAGTTTTAATAAGCAATTGTGTGGTTTAAATAAACGCTTACATTATTTGTCTGCAAAGTTTTCATCGTCTGTGTTTTCTTTTGCTTTTTTTTCATTTCCACCTGAAAAGATTTTATTTTATATAAATACAAACAAGTAAACAACAACTCCTCTGCCTACACTTTATTAATTTCTTCGTAAGATTTTCTTGCTTTTTATTAATATTTCTCTAATAAACATTGCAGCCATCGATGCTGGCAAAACTTTTGACCTTAGAAGTGAAAATTAGTAAATAAAAACTTTTTAAACAAGTAAACCTCAGGTATTGTATCTACACCTTTAATAGCAAGATACAATTGTTGTTTTTAACATACTATGAAAGGAGTTTAAAATGGTTTACAGGTAAGTGCCATCAGTACACAGACAAAATAATTGGTAGTTTATTTTCAATTAAATTGTTTTTCTACTTCACTTTCGTGAGAATGGTATGTAAATATAAGTCTGTCATTCCGTTTGTAATTTCTACAACATAATTTTCTGATCCTATTAAGAATATATATTCCCAGTCCTTATAGGTAGAGGAATCGATTAAGCTTTGTCTATCTGTCCGTCTGTCTGTATGTCTGTCTGTCTGTCTGTCTGTCTGTCTGTCTGTCTGTCTGTCCGTCTGTCTATCTGTCCGTCTGTATATCTGTCTGTCTGTCTGTCTGTCTGTCTGTCTGTATGTCTGTATGTCTGTATGTCTGTATGTCTATCTGTCTGTCTGTCTGTCTGTCTGTCTGTCTGTCTGTCTGTCTGTCTGTCTGTCTGTCTGTCCGTCTGTCTGTCTATCTGACTGTCTGCCTATCTGTCCGTCTGTACATCTATCTGTCCGTCAATCTGACCCCGGGGGCATTTTACCTTGGGGAAATCTCCATCTTGGTGTTATTCCAATATCCCAGGGAAAAGAGGTGCTACCAATACCTCTAGTCTGCCGGGACTGGAGACTAGTGATGATGGTGATGATCAAATGTATCCTCGGCCTTTCCTTGGAATGACATGGGGTCGAACCAGAGCACTAGATAATCTGGTACTACGGGTGGCCAGTTGCCCGTAGTACTTTTCCTGGCTGGTCAGTTGATTGAGGTTCCTTTGGGATCCACGAATAGCTAAGATTTAAACCCAAATTCGCAGGGAGAGAATGTTAGTTTAAGGACTGATATATCCTATGCCATATATGTCTGGATTTTCTCTCCAGTGCTGTTGCCATCGCTAGATTTCTGAACCCGTTGAGTTTCTCTTACTATTCGCGTAGTAGAACGCCAGTATAGGTTGGGGAATCCTCAGGTTGCCTGACATTCCGTAGATCTTTATGGTTGAAAATGTAACTGATGTAATTGGTGAGTGATCGGGAAAGACTTCTCTGGCCGACAGGAGACTAGTACTGATTTAGAAGACCTTTTACTACAGGGAAGTTCTTGGTGCTATTGCCATCTCAACAGGATTCATATTGTTTCATGCTACGCATATGGTTGAGACCTGCCAATCAACTTATCGGGACAATTATTGGGTTCCAATTGACTTTGGAAATTCCTACATCCTTTGTTACATTATCTGACATACAGAGGGATCCTATTGGCTGGGTATTTTGGACTACCAAATACGTCTTTAGGTGCTGTTGCCGAATAAACAGGAGTTTTGTTGCGCGGTCTTTAAAAGGTTAAGAAATCCACTGGAATGGGTCATTAGTTGATGGGGATTGCATTTTAAATAATGCAATCTTTCGTGACATCTAAAGGGTGTTAAGATTCCGGTATACCGGAAGATTGATTTCACCTGATGTTGGGGTTGTCTCCCTTTCTATTGACTTGAAAGTGATTGCTTTTTCCTTGTCGGGGTTTGCGTTGTGATTGATCCCATGCTACCTATCATTCCGCAACGGGGCACAGTGGTATAGGAAAAAAAAAAGAGGGAAATAATTCGGTAACTTCTAAACGGTTAATCCGATTTTAATGAAATGGTATGCACAAAGAGGAGGTGTTGTCGAGTTTAGGTTTTGAATTTGGACCTTATAGGCTAACCAGGGGCCCGGCGGGGGGTCCTCAAATTAGGACACCTCGGCTATGTTAAATTTTTAAAACGATCCTATTTCTTCATTTGAGTTCCGATTTAAAAAAAATTTCGTATATAGAATCTCCTCATCGAGCACTATAAAAAATGTATTTATATTTATAGGGCTTTAAGAAGTCTAGAATTAAAGCCTCTAATTGATCAGGCTATGGTATGTATTGCTAAAAAATTATTTAAATTTTAATTTTCTTAAATAGTTATTTTTCTTTTAGACCTCAGAAAATATTAAGAAAATCATACAAACCCTTGATAGTCATAAAATAGATGTTAAAGCTTTGGAACCAATTGCCTTTAAAGTCATCTCCTGGGGTCCCAATATATAAGTAAATAACTGCTATTCTAAGTAATTTAGTATTTTTTTATAACTTAAATATTTTCATTAAAGTTTTAATAAGCAATTGTGTGGTTTAAATAAACGCTTACATTATTTGTCTGCAAAGTTTTCATCGTCTGTGTTTTCTTTTGCTTTTTTTTCATTTCCACCTGAAAAGATTTTATTTTATATAAATACAAACAAGTAAACAACAACTCCTCTGCCTACACTTTATTAATTTCTTCGTAAGATTTTCTTGCTTTTTATTAATATTTCTCTAATAAACATTGCAGCCATCGATGCTGGCAAAACTTTTGACCTTAGAAGTGAAAATTAGTAAATAAAAACTTTTTAAACAAGTAAACCTCAGGTATTGTATCTACACCTTTAATAGCAAGATACAATTGTTGTTTTTAACATACTATGAAAGGAGTTTAAAATGGTTTACAGGTAAGTGCCATCAGTACACAGACAAAATAATTGGTAGTTTATTTTCAATTAAATTGTTTTTCTACTTCACTTTCGTGAGAATGGTATGTAAATATAAGTCTGTCATTCCGTTTGTAATTTCTACAACATAATTTTCTGATCCTATTAAGAATATATATTCCCAGTCCTTATAGGTAGAGGAATCGATTAAGCTTTGTCTATCTGTCCGTCTGTCTGTATGTCTGTCTGTCTGTCTGTCTGTCTGTCTGTCTGTCTGTCTGTCTGTCTGTCTGTCTGTCTGTCTGTCCGTCTGTCTATCTGTCCGTCTGTATATCTGTCTGTCTGTCTGTCTGTCTGTCTGTCTGTATGTCTGTATGTCTGTATGTCTGTATGTCTATCTGTCTGTCTGTCTGTCTGTCTGTCTGTCTGTCTGTCTGTCTGTCTGTCTGTCTGTCTGTCTGTCCGTCTGTCTGTCTATCTGACTGTCTGCCTATCTGTCCGTCTGTACATCTATCTGTCCGTCAATCTGACCCCGGGGGCATTTTACCTTGGGGAAATCTCCATCTTGGTGTTATTCCAATATCCCAGGGAAAAGAGGTGCTACCAATACCTCTAGTCTGCCGGGACTGGAGACTAGTGATGATGGTGATGATCAAATGTATCCTCGGCCTTTCCTTGGAATGACATGGGGTCGAACCAGAGCACTAGATAATCTGGTACTACGGGTGGCCAGTTGCCCGTAGTACTTTTCCTGGCTGGTCAGTTGATTGAGGTTCCTTTGGGATCCACGAATAGCTAAGATTTAAACCCAAATTCGCAGGGAGAGAATGTTAGTTTAAGGACTGATATATCCTATGCCATATATGTCTGGATTTTCTCTCCAGTGCTGTTGCCATCGCTAGATTTCTGAACCCGTTGAGTTTCTCTTACTATTCGCGTAGTAGAACGCCAGTATAGGTTGGGGAATCCTCAGGTTGCCTGACATTCCGTAGATCTTTATGGTTGAAAATGTAACTGATGTAATTGGTGAGTGATCGGGAAAGACTTCTCTGGCCGACAGGAGACTAGTACTGATTTAGAAGACCTTTTACTACAGGGAAGTTCTTGGTGCTATTGCCATCTCAACAGGATTCATATTGTTTCATGCTACGCATATGGTTGAGACCTGCCAATCAACTTATCGGGACAATTATTGGGTTCCAATTGACTTTGGAAATTCCTACATCCTTTGTTACATTATCTGACATACAGAGGGATCCTATTGGCTGGGTATTTTGGACTACCAAATACGTCTTTAGGTGCTGTTGCCGAATAAACAGGAGTTTTGTTGCGCGGTCTTTAAAAGGTTAAGAAATCCACTGGAATGGGTCATTAGTTGATGGGGATTGCATTTTAAATAATGCAATCTTTCGTGACATCTAAAGGGTGTTAAGATTCCGGTATACCGGAAGATTGATTTCACCTGATGTTGGGGTTGTCTCCCTTTCTATTGACTTGAAAGTGATTGCTTTTTCCTTGTCGGGGTTTGCGTTGTGATTGATCCCATGCTACCTATCATTCCGCAACGGGGCACAGTGGTATAGGAAAAAAAAAAGAGGGAAATAATTCGGTAACTTCTAAACGGTTAATCCGATTTTAATGAAATGGTATGCACAAAGAGGAGGTGTTGTCGAGTTTAGGTTTTGAATTTGGACCTTATAGGCTAACCAGGGGCCCGGCGGGGGGTCCTCAAATTAGGACACCTCGGCTATGTTAAATTTTTAAAACGATCCTATTTCTTCATTTGAGTTCCGATTTAAAAAAAATTTCGTATATAGAATCTCCTCATCGAGCACTATAAAAAATGTCGTCGTAGCAGTAAATTATCTCTTATAGTTTAGGAGATATTCGCATTTGAATATTAAAATTTTAAAATTTTTACCGTCCTTACTTTAGTTTTTTTGATAATAGCAGGTCCAAATATTTCCGATTTTCGCCATTTTTTTTTATTTGCTTAACAACAAGTTTATATACCAAGCAGTGAAAGAATTATGTAAAAATCATGACTGAGTCCAAAGTTATAGGCATTTAAATTTAAAAAATTAAAAAAAGGCGATTTTTTGTCATTTTTTTGGGAAAAAAGTATCTTTTTCTTTTAAGTTATCTAAAAAGTTTCTAAGAAGATGTATATAGAATTTATACTTTTTGGAAAGCTGACTTTACATAAAATACGATAAATGAAACAAAACCTAAAAATTTTTGATACCGAGGGGACCAGGTCCATCCAAAAAAAACCCTATTTTTTATGGAAAATTAAATTTTGAGCAAAAATTCTCAAATCGCATAGTCGATATCAAATTATAGTGACCTGTTTTATATGACCCAATAAGTTCTTAATCATTTTGTAACGGGTTTCGATAACCCCGCCCCTGGTATGGATATAATAGGCAAAAAACCAAAAAATCCCATTTTTGGGATTTTTTAAAACTTTTTTGGGAATTCCGGGATTTCTAATAAGAAAATTCGAAATTTTTATTTAATTTTGGATTTTGAGTAAAAAAATCTACCTAACTGTAAAATTTCATCAAAAAATATTCATAAATAAAATTTTTATTGCAATTTGAAAAATTTGTATCTTCGCAAAAACTGAATAAAAAACATTTTTTAATTTTTTTTAAAAAAAGTATTCCGCGAATTTTTTAATTTTCAAAAATTATATACAGTTTTGAAAAATAGACAAAATTACCTTTCCATTGATATATAACATGCCTACCTAATGTTTTTTAAGTGACAAATTAATTAGGGAAAACTCAACATCTTTTAGAAAATTTGCCTAGCACTATTATTTTCATCCATAAGGTTAACTCTTAAATTTGTTACATATATGGATGAAAATAATAGTGCTAGGTAAATTTTCTAAAAGATGTTGAGTTTTCCCTAATTAATTTGTCACTTAAAAAACATTAGGTAGGCATGTTATATATCAATGGAAAGGTAATTTTGTCTATTTTTCAAAACTGTATATAATTTTTGAAAATTAAAAAATTCGCGGAATACTTTTTTTAAAAAAAATTAAAAAATGTTTTTTATTCAGTTTTTGCGAAGATACAAATTTTTCAAATTGCAATAAAAATTTTATTTATGAATATTTTTTGATGAAATTTTACAGTTAGGTAGATTTTTTTACTCAAAATCCAAAATTAAATAAAAATTTCGAATTTTCTTATTAGAAATCCCGGAATTCCCAAAAAAGTTTTAAAAAATCCCAAAAATGGGATTTTTTGGTTTTTTGCCTATTATATCCATACCAGGGGCGGGGTTATCGAAACCCGTTACAAAATGATTAAGAACTTATTGGGTCATATAAAACAGGTCACTATAATTTGATATCGACTATGCGATTTGAGAATTTTTGCTCAAAATTTAATTTTCCATAAAAAATAGGGTTTTTTTGGATGGACCTGGTCCCCTCGGTATCAAAAATTTTTAGGTTTTGTTTCATTTATCGTATTTTATGTAAAGTCAGCTTTCCAAAAAGTATAAATTCTATATACATCTTCTTAGAAACTTTTTAGATAACTTAAAAAGAAAAAGATACTTTTTTCCCAAAAAAATGTCAAAAAATCGCCTTTTTTTAATTTTTTAAATTTAAATGCCTATAACTTTGGACTCAGTCATGATTTTTACATAATTCTTTCACTGCTTGGTATATAAACTTGTTGTTAAGCAAATAAAAAAAAATGGCGAAAATCGGAAATATTTGGACCTGCTATTATCAAAAAAACTAAAGTAAGGACGGTAAAAATTTTAAAATTTTAATTTTCAAATGCGAATATCTCCTAAACTATAAGAGATAATTTACTGCTACGACGACATTTTTTATAGTGCTCGATGAGGAGATTCTATATACGAAATTTTTTTAAATCGGAACTCAAATGAAGAAATAGGATCGTTTTAAAAATTTAACATAGCCGAGGTGTCCTAATTTGAGGACCCCCCGCCGGGCCCCTGGTTAGCCTATAAGGTCCAAATTCAAAACCTAAACTCGACAACACCTCCTCTTTGTGCATACCAAATTTCATTAAAATCGGATTAACCGTTTAGAAGTTACCGAATTATTTCCCTCTTTTTTTTTTCCTATACCACTGTGCGGGGCTACTATAGCAAGAGATTAGATAGCTCGATTACTTCAGTAAAGTGCTTGTACATGGACCAGCATGACAAAAATTGCCACCAGAGTTCTTTAAAAAAGGATTCAGGGGCACATAGTAGACCGTCCTCAAGTCTACCGAGTGGATGAAAAAGGCCGCCAATGGCAGGTGTTCACGTTAAGCCCTTAGACATTCTTGTCTGTATGTTTGTTGAAATCCATTTTCTGAAGACCCCAGCTATTTTATATGCTTTCGAGAAGCTTTATTTTAAAAATCAGCAAAATCGGTTAGTAAAAACCGGAGCACAATATACTGCTTGTTAAATTGAAAATTAATTTTGGATCCATAATCAGCCCTTATAAGTGGCTCCCTATGTTGATGAACTTGGTAAAACATTTGTTTACGGTCTGATTGAAATACAATCGTAAAAACAAATAGTTCTTAAATGATGACATTTCTCCACCTTAATCAGTTATCTAAACAAAATTATTTTAACATTCAATAATTGTATGAAGATATACTTACCCAGAAAAAAAAAGAACTTCCAAAGAAGTGAAAAAGAAGTAGAATTTAC